TGTTGCAAGCCTGGAGAACTTCCTTAGGTGCTTGGTTCAAGCCATCTCCATTTCCTCGGTCTGGAACCAATTTTCCTCGATCATAAACATGAATTCTATGTTAGTAAAAAAATTATAAACTCTTGAAGTTACATACATGCGAAAAGAATAATATAAGTACTAATATGTCTCCAAACTTCCTTTGTCGCGTGCCTTCTAGTATCAACTGGCTTCAACAGTCCTTGATACTAGTCCTGTACATAGAAAAATTAATTACTATGATACCATTCTATTTGAAATAATCAATTAAACAAATGATGAAGTATTTACAAAACCCAATGCATTACGCTTGGAGTGATATCGCTTGTTGTGTCCTTTTAGTCTACATAAATGAGCATGTCATCAATACCCTTCATTTTCTCCTAACATGTGATTTTCCCTCGCGGTGTGCAATAACATCTTCATCCACTTGTCTCCTCTTTTTCTTTTGCTTTTTACCCCTCCACGAAGAAGTCCAAGAAGGTGGAAGGATGGGTACATTGTCTAGCTGCGGCCATAATTGTATTCCATGAATAGGATTCAAAATGTTATCATCGCATCTCAAATGCGTATCGTTTGTGTAATAGTTGTCCACATAATCCTGGGGACATTTCTACACTCCCGTATAATGGCCATGGTATGACTACATGGTATCCCCGTCAAGTCCTAACTCATATTTGCGCAACTCTGTTCTTCCAAATAAATGAAATAGATCCCTAACTTGTAACTTTCCTAAAAATATAATGTACACTCATTGGACAACTTGGCAATCTTATCAAGCTTTTTTTAATCCTCGAACACAATCACCCTTCGCACCTCCTCATTTCATTTCGACGCTCTCAATCCTGGTCATAAACCCCAACTGCATATCTGTAAGCATCGTTACAATAAACTTCTCTATGTCATCTATTAGCATCTTATTGAAAACTTTGCACAAGTTTTTCAATAAAATATCACTCTTCGAACATGTCTCGAAATGAGATTTTCTCCACTTTCCTAGATGCCTCTCGTTCAACTAGTTATAAGCTCCTTGACTAAATTGATGTATTTGCTGCATTTGCTGTCTTTGGTCAGCTAAGGTAGTAGACTTAGCAGCCCCACCACTTCAAAGTCTTCCCCTTATATCCCGCATTGAAAATGTTTATGTACACATGTCTGACATAGAACCTATGCTCCACCTCTAGAAATAACTCATCAACAACATTACTTAATCCCTTCTGCCTATCTGCAATCAAGTCCACTTATCCCGATTTCCCATTTGAATATTCTCTAATAAATATTTCAGAAACCATTTCCAAGCAGCTGTGTTCTCCTTTTGGACAACAGCATGTGAAACGAGATAGATATAGTCACTTGCATCTAGATCGATAGCAATGAGCTGTACACCATCCCAAACACCCTGAAGATGGCACCCGTCTACTCCGATGATTTTTCTACACCCATGTTGAAACCCTGATTTGCAAGCACTAAAACAGATGTATACACCTTGAAACACCTGCCCATTAAGTCTTATCATTACTGTGGATCCTAGATTGGTCCTCAGTACCTCAGACGCATACGACCTTAGTCACACAAATTGGTCTCCGATAGTAGCGTTTATCAATTGCTTCGCATATCTTCAAACCTTCCCAGTGACATTTCTAGCAATGTTTATTTTCAAGTCTTCCTTCACGGTTGCCTGCATACTTTTCGTTTTACACTCTGGATTTGCCTTGAACTGGTCAATGTATCAATTCATTATGAAAATGTCATTACAATGATGATTGTAACAATCCCTACTCCATATGTTGAGGTATATATTACTTCACTTGAACGGTTTCTGAATTATTCATCTTAGAAGCCCATATTCTTTATTTGCATTCCGATTTACAGATGCCTTGAACTCTTCTTTTGTCATTTACCTTGCACTTGACATTATATTCGTTTACTTCTCTGTAAGCCCAGATCGCCTTCCTAAATTCTTGAACAAAACAAAACATTTGACCCACCTCAAACTTCGATCGCTCATAAATGTTTCAACCATAAACTTTGTAAATCGACACCCTACCCATCGTTAGATGATATAACGAACAATAGTTCTTTAGATGATGGATATTCTATATCATTGGTGTCTTGGTATTCATTGTGCACTAGTATTGCCTGATCCTCTTTTTCTAATCCAATGGTTTCCCTCCCATCACAATCTAACTCAATTCCATCTGTCACTTTTTTTTTTTCGAATAGCATATCGTCTTCATCAATATGTCGTTATCAAAATTA